GAGGATGAATTGTTTCTTGGCCTGTGAAGAAAACTCTCCATGGAAAAAAGCATTGTTGGGGGAGACGAAAAGGAGAAGATTGGGCCCACAGAGATCCTGAATTCCAAAAATACTAAATCAAGCAAATTCAACATCAGGATCCAAGAGTCTATTGTGTGGGCAGTGAGAAATGATCTTGGGCTTTAAACGGTCAGTGGACAATAAAAAATTAAATTTTAGGAAGATGAATTTGGTGATAGTGGAGATTAGAGGAAAAAGGATTAAAGGCAAAAAACTGTCCCCCCAAAAAAACCTGAATGCTTCTTTAAGCGCTACTAAAAGTTGGACTGTATGCAAAAAAAAAAACAAACCGTCCCTCCCCTCCCAGACTTCACAGTCTAATAGGAAAGCCATTCATTAATCCCATAGTTAGCCACTAAGGACCTACTATGTGCTAAGGATTATACTGGGCACTGGAGACACCAAAGTTTCCACCCTCATGAAGCCTATCCTCCAACATGTGGAAGACTATATAAAACCAAACCATTAAGTATATTCACACAGAGTCAGGTAACAAGTGCTAGGAAAAAAAGAAAGTAGGGCACTGGGTGCAGAGTGGTGGGATGCAGTAGTCAGGGAAGGCCTTCCCAAAAAAGCTGCCACAATATTTCAAGCCCAGAGAACAAATAAAATGGAGCCGTCACTGCTAGGAATAAGGATACTGAGAAGAGGACGTAGCTCAGTAAGAGTATAGGGAAGAAGGTAAGGAGTCTTGTTTTAAGTGTGTCAAGCTGTGATAATAGCAGGGTATCCACGCAGAAATACTGGACTCTAGAACTCTTGTCTACAAGACCAGAGGAGATAAAGACTAGACATATAAATTTCAGTGTCTTCCACTGATATTTGAGTGATAAGAAGCCTTCTTTTTAAAACTATGAAAAGTAACTAAGGGACTAAAAAAAACTCAAGTGCGGTAGTTTTTAAATTACAAATAGTTTTATAATATTGTAGAAGGAAAATAAAAAGAACAGAGTATAGTTTAAATAATAAGCATAATACAAGTAGTAGTTAGTCAAAAGCAAAGGCCATTTAAGAGTTGTACAGAGGCTAAGGAATTTAAATAATCCCTCCCTAGTGAAGCTGCAAGCTTATCTTGCATTCTAGGCTACCTTGTAAACTGTGTTTAGAAAAAAGTAAAGTCTAGGAGACTGGGCACCACCCTTAATCACACTCCTATCTATAGATAGCAGACATAACATGGAGAAACGTCCTTCATCGTTCTCGCTCAATCTTGCTCAAAGTCCCACCCGATCACGTACTCCACGCCTACTTCATTGATCACAACCCTCTCACATGTACTTTCTAGAATTGTAAGCTTTTAAAAGGGCTAGTATTTTCTTTGTCGGGGAGCTCAGTTTTTGAGACACAAGTCTGCTGATGCTCCCAGCAGAATACAAGCCAATTCCTTCTTTAAATCTGGTGTCCAGGAGGTTTCATCTGCATCCTGTCCTGCTACTGAGATGGGAGACCTCCTTCCCTCCTCCCACTTCCCAGCCTCCACCTCCCTCCTCCCTTCCAGATGGGAAGAAGGGTGAAAAAGAGATAAAATACCAAAGAGCTTAAATCTGTGGTCAGGCAATTTGCTGACACCACTGACCAGACCATAAAGAGCCCCAAGGACTGGGAAGATAACTCTTTTCAGTTCCCAGTGCCTCTGCTATCTATAAGCCTTGAAAAAGTTGCAAAGAATGTATCACTACCAGCTGGAGCCAGGCACTGGGTCACGTCCTCCACATTTGCATTACCCAGGCCCCCTCCTGGAAATATCTCTGCCAACTAATAATTTGCTGCCTTTGTCTTGCTTCTGTAAGCCCCCTCCCCTGCCTGTTCCCTCTCACACTGCTTATGAACTAGCAAATCAATGAAGCCAAAGTTTGTGAGGTCAAATGTCCAGCCAATGAACAATGACACAGTTTCACCTCTGCACCCCCTTTAGAGTTGTAAGCCCTTAAAAAGGGAAAGAAACTGCTCTTCAGAGAGCTGAGTGGTCAAGGCATTAGCCTCCCGAAGCTCTTGGCCAAATAAAAAGCCACTTCCTTTCTCAGTTCTGTGTTTGACAGGTTTGTTCCCTGCTGATCCTGCTACACTACAATATCTCCTATAATGGCTCCCTCCCTCCAGCTGCCCGGAATCCCAGAGGTGTGCAGTGACTTTGTGTAGGCAGCAAAGAGCTAGTAACAAAATTATTACTATTATTATTATTGAAGCTGATTTACAGCTAACCATCCAAAAGACCTCTTCCCCCTGTGTCTTCAATCTCCAAGGCAGAGTGGTAGAGACAGTTTCATCCTTCCTCTGCACTGACCCCTTGAACCACATGCACCTCTTTGTGACTTTACCCTCTGCAGATGGCTCTGAATGTCTTAATGTCTGGGAGAAAGGGATTTAGAAAGCAAAATATAAAAACTGTAACTAGACCTTCCCACCTTCCTAGAAGTGGCAAGAGTCAAATGTTGCAATAGACTTAAGGACAGATGACCACTTCAGTTGGCCTGGAAGTGCCTTGGTTTTAGTAGTGGGAGTTCTTCATTTCAGAAAACCCCTCATCCCTGAGCAAAATAAGATGGTTGGTCACCCTATGGCTTGGTTTGACCATCATAGCTATCACCTGCATACATGACACAACATAGTGTTTTATTTCCCTAAAAATGACATCAGCTTCATTAAAGTACGTGTTTAGCTTCCAAACCCTACCTAGTCCCCTCCTACCCTAGGAGCCAGGCTCTCTTTTCCCACCCAGACAGAGTTGCTGCTCTCAGAAATTCCTAGACATGAGTTGACACTGGATTCCTTAGCCTTCTACTCCCATCATCTCCCACTCAGCCCCAGCTACCACCTAAACTAGGAAGATCAAATCTACCAGTGACCTCTGTCCGTGGCACTTGCTGCCCCTCCTCTGCTCAGCCCTTGCCAATATAGCTGCTGGAACCTGGGGGTCAAAGTCAAATTATCAGAAAAGGATCTGAGCTGGCAATGTGCTCTAACACAGCAAAACACAGGAAAGGGGAACCCCAGATAAATTACAGCCTGCTGACCTAGGAAGATGTGTGGTTTGCGTCTCTGAGTTACAGAAACACAGGAAATGCTTACTGGCCAGTCAATTTCAGAGTTTTGGGTCCCAAGTTAGGCTGACTCACCTTCAGAATGGAAACCAAGTGACAGCCCTCATATCAGGGCACATATCACGTGTTCTTCCAGAAGCAATGAGTTTGGAACCCTCACAGATACTGGGAAAGCTCACAAATCATTTCTGCCAGTTATTGGAGGTTCTGAAATTATAAGGAAGATTCAAAGAAAATGCCAACACTGACATTAGTCTTGGCGGGAACCCCTGTTACAGAATTTTCTTGCCTGACAAGGTTAAAAGAACAATAAGCAGGAAACACAATCCTCCAGGAATAATCCCATTGGCCCTTAGTCACCTTGACTCAAACAGACTAAATTCTAAAATGCAGAATTTCAAATAAGCTAATTAGATAACCTTGACCATTCTCCACACACAAACCCTTGCCTGAACTATTAATAGCCAAGGCAAAGGGTAGTTGTTATTGCTGCCTTTTTAAACTGAATCATCTGGGAAATTGCTTCAGACCCCCAAAGAAAGATTACTGTTAACAATTCAAAAACTAAAACATTTGATACCTGAGACGGCCCTTCCCCCGACCCGCCCTTCAGGGCTCAGTATGACCGACTCTGAAGGCTGTTGCAAGATTGCATCACTGACCTTTGCAATTTTCTGGCCAGCTTGATTTCCCTTTCTTTCCCCTGCACCCTCCCTTTCTCTGCTTAAAGCCCTTTGGCCAATTTGCCTCTCCTTTTCCCCTACTTTGCTAAATCTGGCATATCTATAACCAAAGGCAAATGAGAAAGCTCCCTCGGCCCCAGGTGATTATACCTAATCCTGGTCAAAATCAGTCCTGTATCTTCACATATCCAAGAGTATTCACACTCTGGATTCTTACCTAAGCTGTCCACTGCACATCCTTCTGCCCCAAACTGCTTCAATGCTGAAGTTGAGCTGGAGCACTGCAGCTGTACCCCCAAACCCAGGAGGGTGGCAGAGAATTATTGAGGAGAGCATGAAATACTTCCATTCTTGAATGGCAGACGAACTTCTACCAACAGCCTCTTCCATATTCGAACCCCCCACCCCAACCCAGCTCCCAACTCGACGTCTCAAGTGGAAGTGAGAAGAATTTGAATTTAAAGGCTGTTCCCTGATACACCAAAGTACATAAGGAAAGAGCTTGCGGGCAAAGAGACTAACTTTCTCTCTCTCTCTCTCTCTCTCTCTCTGTCTCACACAAACACACACACACACACACACACACACACACACACACACACCTCTGTGCATAAAAGTCACCATCATTGAATAGTTTTCTATCAACTGACTCCAGCTCTACATGCACGCACCTCTCAATAAAGCCAATCAGGCAGGAAAGAAACAATATTGGCACATACTGCTTCATCCAAGCGTGACCTGTTCAATTCTATTACCCAGATGCCTCCTCCTTGCCTTCTCCTCTCTGATCCATTGCCACACGCGTGGAAAGATGACAACCTTCCGAATAAAAATTAAAGCTTTCTCCTTTAGGTGGAACCCCCAGATTCCCTCATTATTTATGATGTCAAGTTGCCCTTTACGAAGAAAGCTGTGCACCCACCAACACCAGTTAGAAGGTGCCATCAGGCCAGAAATGTCCATGGACACCTCCCTGGGCTCAGATCCTCCCTGCGCTCGCCTGTAGTGGGACCTTCCCGTGCAGGCGTGCCCTCCCGCGCGCGTGCCCCCCCTGCGAGTCCCCTTGCTCACACAGTCAGAGCGTGCGCAGCGCGTGGCCACCTCCCGCCAGATCCCAGCTGGGTTCCACCGCCTCCTCTCCCCTCCTGCCTTTCCTCCCCCTCCCGCTTCCCCTGGCTCTGGCTGTGCTGGCCTGGGCCAGAAAGCCCAGGAGGCGTGGCTCGGAGAAAACATATAAGCGCACCGGACGCTAACACGGTGCCAGCTGCGGAGTCTCCATCTGGAAGAGCCGCTGCTGCCGAGAGGAGGAGAACGCCGAGGCCGGCGGGACCAACAGATTCGCTGACCGCCACATTCGCTGACCGCCACATTCGCTGACCGCCTCCGACTCCAGCTTGCGCTGCCTCCTGCTCGCGCCGCGCCACTAAGGTGGTCCCCCTTTCTACCAGCCCTCCCCAAGATAAGCTGGGTGCGGGGTGGCGGGAGGCTGCAGCCATTCTCCGGTGGCTAACGTCCCCTCTCCTGCTGCTCCTCCTGCAGGTCACTCCCGCCTCCGAGAGCCCAGAGCCGAGATGGAAACGGTCCAGGAGCTGATCCCCCTGGCCAAGGAGCTGATGGCCCAGAAGCGCAAGGGGAAGCTGGTGAAGCTGTACGTGCTGGGCAGCGTGCTGGCCCTCCTCGGCGTGGTGCTCGGCCTGATGGAGACTGTGTGCAGCCCCTTCACGGCCGCCAGCCGTCTGCGGGACGAGGAGGCAGCCGTTGCGGAGCTGCAGGCCGCCCGAGAGCGACAGGCTCTCCAGAAGCAAGCCCTGCAGGACAAAGGCAAGCAGCACGACACCATCCTCTGCGGCAGGGCCCTCTCCAACCGGCAGCACGCCTCCTAGAAATGGTGGGAGACCAGTGCAGTGGGAGGGAGAGGCGGCAGACAGAGCGAGCGAAACGGATTGAGAGAGGCAGGGAGAGACGGAGAGGGCGCGCGCACGGGAGCCTGACTCCGCTGGGAGACTGCAGGTGCACGTGCTGTTTGTTATCTGGATTTACTTCAGAGAAGCCACTGACATCTAGAACTGACCTACCACAAGCATCCACCAAAAGGAATTTGGGATTGAGTTTTGCTGCTGTGCAGCACTGCATTGTCATGACGTGTTCAGTACTGTGTATCTTTGAGTTATCTAAACGCGTCCACCATTTTGCACTAGGGAGGAAGGATAAATGCTTTTGGATAAATGTTTTTTATATTATTATTATTATTATTATTACAATGACCACCATTTTGCATTTTGAAATAAAAAAAATTTGTATACCACATCTCATTATCTAATTCCTGAGAAGTGTGGTGTCCTGGGGTGGGCAGCAGGGAGGCTGAGCAGGAGGGCGATGGTGATAAGGTCTCATCGCTGCACTGCAGAGGGAGCAGCTTCCTGAAGGTCAGACACTTGCTTCATACCTAGGAACTGTGTGATAAGCTACTACATCCATACAAGTCTGTTGAGTGCTCGTTTTTGCTTCTTGTTAGGAGTGAGAAAAGGGAAACTTTTATAAGTTCCATGAGATTTAGCATTTCAAGATCAGAAGGTAGATCAACTTCTGAGCTAGAGTGAGCGGGAGATAACTGATTAATTCTAAGGCAGAAAAGTTCTTTGTTCCTCACACCTGTGCACCAGAGGGTCCCATGGCTGATACCTTTTTCTTCCCAACTGTATTTTAGAGAAAGAGAGAGAGAAGGGAAGAAAAGGAAGGAGGGAGATCTGGAGGGGAGGGGAAGGGAAGAAAGGGAAAACTAGCTACCTGGCAGGAAAAGAGAGAATCTCCCAAGAACACCAAATCAGATGAGTCTAGCTCTACCCAGCCTTCCTCTCCACGAACCCAGATCATAATAAGAAACCCTGGGCTAGAAAGAGAAGGAAATTGCTTGTCATATGTCTGAGTCCTCCTCCTTTAGTGGACAGAGCTTCATCTGTAGTAATAGCTAATTCAGTGACTCTACATGGCTCAGCATAAGAAATTTTACACTTGAAAGAGGTAGCCAGGAGCCAGAGGCACGGCCTTGACGGTAGTCTCTGCACATTTTTCACATTACCTGTCCTAATCAGGTACTGACACTTTACTCCTTTGATCAACAGCTGTGCATTTTTGCCAAACACACCACTGGCTCACACCGTTGCCTCTGCCCAGACTCTCTCCCTCATCCAACGCCCCACACATCTCCATTTCATTTCTGCCAACTCCATTCCTACCCAGTGTTCCTGGCCCTGATCAAAAGCCATCTCTCTCTGAAATCTATTCTTACCACTCCCAAAGGAAAAAGCAATCAGAATGTGGTAAGATTATCCGAGGAAAAGAAACATATTTGGAATTTCAAAGGAAAAGAAGAATGTCAGTGGCATCACAGTTCTCCCAGCTTCCAAAATGGGAAATTCAGCCCCATTCCAAGGCAGAGCCTCCATTTCAATGTCCAAGAAACTTCTTAGGAACTGACTCAATTTGACCCTTCTTGCTGCTCTTCCAAATGCCTCTTCTATTGTATTAATTATACTCCTTTGCCCATTCAGCTACCACCTTTGGCTTTCAACGTTCAAACCACCCCTGCACGCTCTAACACAGTCGCCCTAAACTGTCCCTTGTCAGACTGTCTTTCCTTTAATCCCTTCATTCTGCTGCCCCTGAACTCAAAAACATCTGAGACTAAAACTCCCATGCCAGGTTTCAGTGCCTCTGATGTGCTTCTGTCTCAGCCGGCCTTCTTGCCTGATTTCTCAGGCTGCCTACCATGAACCCTGGTCCCCTCCTGTTCCCTTCTGGTTTTTTGTACCTTTGCTTACATTACTCTTCCAATGTGAATGTCCTCCCACCCACTACCTCCACATCTTCTGAAACCGCGTACCTCAAATTCTCCAAGGGAGGTATGATTTCAAATACAGGCATTTTGCCCATTGTCAAGCTACATGTAAAATTGTGTGCTCTGATTTTTTTATTTAGAAGGTAAGGCCTATGTTTTGAATGTTTGCCTATACGTAAAAAGTTACCTAAATATATAGGTATGCCTATATGTTTTTGTGTAGAGAGAAATTTCCCATGCCTATGTATGTTCAAATTACCCAACCCAATCAAGTCTGAGCTGTTGAAATCCTGTTCTCACTGGTCGTCTTAATTCTCTGAGTTCTTAAATGCCTGAGTCTCACACTGCATCACTCACTAATGGACTTTTTTTTTTTCCAGTTGATCTGTGGGCTTGCTCATGTCTCTTATAGTATAATCTTCTTGAGGTCAAGGACCATGTCTTCTTTAGTGTTCACAGAAATCATTAGGTCCTAGCCAAATAGTAGGTTCTTAATAAATAGTTGATTGTTTAATTAATCATTTATGAGGTTACAGCAGTGACTGTAAATTAAAGGGAAAGCAGTTTTGTCCCCCTAGAGAATATTTGACAGTCTAAAGACACTTCTGGTTGTCTGGGTGAAGGGAGGGGGCAGTACAGCAGGCATCTAGAGGGTAGAAGTCAGGGGGCTGTTAAATATCTTCTAATGCACAGGACAGCCCCCAACACAAAGAATTCTCCAATCCAAATTCTCCAATAGGGCAGAAGTTGAAAAATTCTGAGTTAGAGGAATATAAGGAAAAAGGATTTGCTTAATAATTTCAGAAACGAAGTTTTGAGGTGGTCTCACAAGGCTATGTCTGGTTATGATCAAACATAATAAGTCCCTCTCTGAACACAGGAACAGTAAATGTCTTTTGTCCTCTTCTGCTTGGTAATTTTACCAACAACCTAGGAGAGGTAGCAGAAGGTACACCCATCAGTTCTGTTGGTGACACAGAGCTGAGATAGCACAGTCAGAACTCAAAACAACTCAATAGGCTGGAATCATGCACCAAAGCAAAACCAACAAACTGAAGAGGGAAAAGATACAGTACAGAATTCGGGTCCACAAAACCAATTGTGCAAGCACAGATTTAGAAAGACATATCCTAGCAGCAGATCATGTGAAACAAACCTAGAGGGTTTTTTTTTTAATGTCTGACACATTATAATTGTACATATTTATGGAGTACAATTTGATGTTTCCACACATGAACACATTCTGTAGTGATCAAATCAAGGTATTTGGCACAGCCATCACCTCATGCATTTGTCATTTCTTGTCTTGAGAACATTCAAAAGCCTCTCTTCTAGATATTTTGTAATATACAATAGCTTACTGTTAACCATAGTCACTCTACTATGGAAAAGAACTCCAGAATTCCTCCTAATTGAAACTTTGTAACCCTTGACCAGCCTCTCCTCATTCTCCTCTCTCGTCTCCTCCCAAGTGTCTGTTAATCACACTGATCTACCCTATACCTCTATAAGATCTATCTATATAGATAGATCTTATATATTATCTTATATAGATCACTTATATATTCCACATATAAGTGAGATCATGTGCTAGTTGTCTTTCTATGCCTGGCTTATTTCACTTAACAGAACATCCAGGTTCATCCACTCCATCTCAGAGCTGAGATAGGATATCATTCTTTTCACTGCTGAATAGTATTCCACTGTATACATATACCACATGTTCTTTATCCTTTCATCCACTGCTGGCACTTAGGCTGATTTCACGTTTTGGCTATTGTAAATAGTGCTGAAACACATGGGAGTACGGATATATCTATACACCCACTAGTGGGGATTCTGGATCTTATGGTGGCTCTACTTTTAATCTTTTAGGAACCTCCATGCTGTTTTCCATTGCGTTCGGGGCTGTACTAATTTACATTCCCACCAACAGTGTATAAGCATTCCCTTTCCACCACATCCTCACCAACACTTGCTTTCTTTTGTGTTTTGATAAGAGCTATTCTAACTATATGAGGTGGTATTTAATTGTGGTTTTGATTTTTATTTCCCTGGTGATCAGTGATGTTGAGCATTTTTTTTCGCATACTTGTTGGCCAATTTTATGTCTTCTTTTGAGAAATATCTATTAAAATTTTTTGCCCATTTTAAAAATTAGGTTACTTGGGTTTATTTGGCTATTGAGTTGTTTGATTTTCTTATACATTCTGGATATTAACCCTTTGTCAGATGTACAGTTTACACATATTTTCTCCCATTCTGCAGATTGTCTCTTCACTGCTGTTTGCTTTGCTGTGCACAAACTTTTCAGTTTGATGTAATCAAACTGAAAACCATTTGTCTATTTTTGCTTTGGTTGCCTATGTTTTTGAAGTTTTATCTAAAACTTTTTTGCCTAGTCCAATGTTTCAAAATGTTTCCCCTATATCATATTCTGGTAGTTTCATAATTTGTGATTTTATATTTAAATCTTTAATCCATTTTGAGTTGATTTTTGTAGTCATGCATGACTTAACGGTGGGGATATATTGTGAGAAATGCTTTGCTAGGTGATTTTGTCATTTGTGCAAACATCATAGAGTTTACTTAAAACACACCTAGATAGTACAGTCTACTACATACCTAGGCTATATGGTATAGTCTATTGATCCTAGGCTATAAACCTGTATGGTATACTGCTGTACTGAATATTGTAGGCAATTGTAACACAATGGTAAGCATTTGTATATCTAAACATAAAAAGGTATAGTAAAAATACATTATTATAATCTTAGAGGACTATCATCATATATACAGTCCCTCATTGGCTAAAATGTTATGTGGCATGTGACTGCATACAGTGAGAGATCAGGATCTAGTCTCGTTCTTCTGCATGTGGATATCAAATTTTCCCAGCACTACTTATTGAAGAGACTGTCTTTTCCCCAGTGTGGGCTCTCGGCAACTTTGCTGAAAATCAGTTGGCTGTGAGTGAATTTATTTCTAAGCTCTCTATTGTGTTCCATTGGTTTGTATATCTGCTTTTATGCCAGTATCATGCTGTTTGTGTTATTATAGCTTAGAAGTTTATTTTGAAGTCAAGTAGTATGATGCCTCTAATTCTGTTCTTTTTGCTCAGATCTAAAGATTTTCAGTGATTACAAGTTCAATAAAAGCCAATGAGGACTTATAATAGGGGTGCTAAAACAAATTAATGCTTCTTTAGTAGAAGTATAATTGCAGAAAAAGAGAAGGGCAGGTGGCTTTGTTATGCTTTGTTTTCTGTCAGGGTGAAAAACGAAGAGTTTAAATCAGACTGCCTGTATTTGCTTGGGTTTGCATCTTGACTCTCCTATTTGTAGTTCTAAAACCTGTGAAAGTTATTTATACTCTCTCTCTTGAGTTACTTAAATTCTTTCTTCATCTGTAAAATAGTACCTTCCTCAGGGAAAAATTTGCTGATTAAATGAGATAATACACATAGAGTTCTTACAGTAGTACCTTGCATATAGTAGGCTTTCAGTCAATGATAGTTATTATTGTTGTTGTTAATATTTTAAGACAAATCTTGACCAAGAAAAAAAAAACAAAATCTGCTTAGATTAAAGTGACTAGGACAAATAAAAGTTCAGAAACTCTATCACATACAGAACAACTGAAGAACAATAGAGATACTAGATTCAGTAGCTTTACATGACAATTGCTCCAAATATTTGAAGAGCTGCCATATTGGAGAGGATCAGGCTTAATGTGGCTCAAAAATACCGACCTAGCACTGTCAAGCAGGATAACAAGGAGGCAGATATTATGTTATCATTATGACATCAGAGTAATTAAAAAACGGAATGAATTGCCTCATGATATACAGTAAGCTCCCGTTACCAAAAGCATCCAAGCAGGGGTTGGAAGTTATCTGCCAGGGATGGTATAAACTGGGGAAGAGATTCCTGGACTTGGAGGTTGCATCCAATTCCAAGATGCTAAGACTCTTTCTAATATAACCGCCAAATAGGGGATATATTTCCTTTTCTAGCCTGTCTGTCTAGATCTCCCCTTTCTTTAAATGCCTCTTTATTCTT